CTCTTTGATGTAGAATGTCTTCATGAAGCTTGAGTGCCTAGTGCCCCAAGTGTGACACCTCAAATGGTTCACACAACACCAAATACACTTGGAATAACTTGAGAGAATTCTACACTTCATAAAATCGGCTAGCCCTCTCTAGAATAATCTAGTGGCCGATTTTGTCAAGAATAAGATCTTTATATAGTGTTACAATTAGGGCAAACCCTAATTGTCATGACTTTCCATTTCCTTGGATCCATGGGTTCAAATACACCATGGAGCATCCAAGGAGCATCATATGGGTTTTGGCCCAACTAGATAATCCATGGAGCATTAGCCCACTATACAAGTATGGATGATTTACACAATCAACCCATATATTTAATTAGTCTTCTTTTGATCACTTAATTAATCCTAGATTAATTCTTGATCAATACTAATTAAATAATCTTATTATTCTTATTATTAATATACTAGAACTTATAATATATTAATAACCATAAGTGTCTTATTTCTCTCATTATAGTCTATCCAAGTGCATGATGCCATGCAACCCAAATGGACCATGCCGGGTCGGGTCAAGTCTTACCAATTATAGTTATGGACTTAGACATTAATCCAACACAAATACCATAACTATCTGGTACCCTAGGGCGTCCACCTCCAAATTCTGAAATCAAAAGTTCACTCACCCTTCCTTCCAATACGGGAAGTAGGAATAATATAATCCTCGCCATAGAAAATGACATATCAAATCATCGGCCGATCACTCATCTCAGGTTCCAATCTTTAACAGCGCATCACCTCCACTTCCTTTTTGAGTCTTGCGACTCCATCTGGCACCTCAGTAGCCAAATCTCTCGAGACCTAAACTCAACTTTTCTCGCAAGGCCCAATCCATTCAAACCTTACCAATATGGCCCTTGGGCCCAACAATCACCATGCCCACACGCAGTCTAAATAACTGCAGTCAGATAATCGGTAGAGACGGATAACACACTCTGCAACGAACCATGGTACCCAAACCATGTTATCTTCTCTCTACCGGTTACTTAGAACCCCTGGAATACTCCTCGTTTTGATTATGAATCCTATGCTTTCAGTAGTATGGGCTCGATACTACCTTCCACGTCTGTTGATACATTCCTCGAGGATCGTTCTAGATTTTCTAGGTAGCTGCTCAAATTCCCCTATCGACCAATCCCATTCCACATGCTCGTTCTTCAGCGAATACTCACCGCTAAACACCTAACTCATCAGATTGAAAATACTCCATAGGCTCCCCTAGGATTCCCCTCACTCCGCTTTCTGCCACCAGCTGCAAAAAGGAACTCCTATTAATACATACTAACCACTTCTCGAATACAACTACATGCTTCATGCACTAGATATTCTTCGACTGCAAGATTCCGCTCTACAACGACTAGACTTACCCAAGAGCCGCACAATAGAGCAAAATCTAACCTTCTAAAATTATATACTCAATGAAACACGTAACCTAGTGTATTCGATTAATAGTTAGTCGGTGTTAATGGAAGTCTCTAAAATCACAAAGCAAGCAACATTCGGGCATCAAGCAACCTCCACCGGCACATAAAACCACTCTAGTATACAACCCCAAATGCTCTATCCACAGCACAAAAGGCATCACCGAACTCAGTCAATCCTACCTCACAACTCCCGGAGATCTCTAATCAAAAGCATGCAAAACTACTAGCTCACCTAAGAGGCATAAATGCATCTTTCTTAAGCAGAAACACTAGGATGCAATACTAAGCAAATTCCTAGCCCTAAACTAGCATTCAATTCTATCAACTCATAATAACAGCACATAATCAAGTAAAGGTATTTTGGGAAATCATCGCTCGGGCTCTGGCTGATTGTATACACTGCTTCAGACCTGCTTTAAAACTCTTCAATTTCCTTGGAAAATCGTGTGATGAAAAATCATTTCGTTTGAAAAGTTATCAACTCCTCAGTTTGAGTCTAGACATACCCGAGGGTGTGCCCGAATCCCTCAAACCAAGGCTCTGATACCAAATTGTAACACTTCTAATTTCAAGACAAATTTTCCATTTTTAATTTACCAAACATTAGTCATAAATACAATTCATCATATAAATTATAAGTCATTATAAAAACAATATCAGAGTATCCCAAAATCCACAAGACATCATAAGTCGGCGAATGTGTTCAATCATATCTCCACCTTCCCGAAATCTACAGAAGTACCTGAAACACATCTTAATGAACATTGTAAGCATGAAGCTTAGGGAGTCCCCCAAAATACCACAACACAAATAATTAGCCTCACGTGGCTAAATCTCGATAAGGACCCTCCGGTCATGTGTCTCAGTGAAGACCCTCCGGTCTCATGACTCAGCCTACACCCTCCGGTCATAACTCAATATATTTACACATAATAATACAACATCATAAGTCACAAAGATAGAATGCATATAGCATAAATATCAATATAAGAAAATAAAACCCTCCGGTCAACAATACGAATAAGACCTTTCATTCGATAATATAAAGAAGACACTCCGGTCAATAATAAGAAAAGACCCTCTGGTCACACATACATTACCACACATGTAAGTATAGTGAGGAGACTCAGCTCAGATGATGAACGGATCCTACAATTGCTAGTGTTGCACACCGACCCCAAACACTGAGCCAAACCCACAACTAAACTCGGTTAGGATCTAAGACCATTCCCCCACACATTAAGTCTAAAGATGGCCCCCGAGACCATTGGGCCCACAAAGGCCTAATACCAAATGGGTCCACCAAAGCCCAACCCTACACTTATGTCCAAAATAGCAAACCCAACACAAGGGTGAAAGACTTATATTTCTCAGATCAAAATCCCCAATAAAACAAGCCCAAAATCAAGATTTCAAATATTTAAGGCCCAAAACGAGATCTAGCCCAAAAGCCCATGGCGAGACTACGCGGGATGTACCTCCCTGGTACGCTCATCGTACACGCAACTCCTGATCGGGGAACTAGACAAGTATGTGGGGCATATTGAGATTTACGCGGGGAGTACTGCTCATATATATATATATATATATATATATATATATATATATATATATATATATATATATATATATATATATATGTGTGTGTGTGTGTGTGTGTGTGTGAAAATATGTTTATACATTATATACAAGTTTTGATGAAATTTGCAGAAATGTCTCATTATTTTGGAAAAATTAACGATTTAATCTCATGACCTGTTGAAAATAGGGATAAGCATCGGAACTGGGTACCCACTTTTGGAACCGAAACTGCCTCGGAACTATCGGTTCTGGAGTTGGAACTTCCTTAAGCGGTTCCGGTTCCGGTTCTTAAAGTTATGGAACCGCCTTAAGCGGTTCCGGTTTCAATTCTCATTTTTTTGGAACCGCTACCCGCTGGGTACCCACCGAAACCGGTAGTATATATATTTATATGATATATATATATATATATATGTGTGTGTGTGTGTGTGTGTTACTTAGACCGGTTTAGAATATATTGGTCCGATTCTGTCCCTCTTTGGTCCGCATTGATTCGATTTGGATCGAACTAAGTTGCGGTTTTATCGACAAAAAGTAATAAAGTTAATGTAATCGGGTTACACGCTCCCGGAACCGAAACCGCCGGTTCCGGGACTGGTTCCAAAAATTTAAGAACCGCCTAGGGTGGTTCCGGTTCCGGTTCTAACTTTCTAGAAACCGCAGGTTCTGGTTGTTGCCAAATAAGGTGGGTACCCGCTTATGCTCATCCCTAGTTGAAAAGATAAAAAAAATGGCTAAAGTGAATAAATTAGACGGTTTTTTGGGTTTTTCTATTCAAAAGGTTAAAAATTCATGACTTTTTTGTTTAAAAAATAAATTTAGAACTTTGGTAAAAAAAAATTTCAAAATATTAGGATTTTTCTAAAGATTTCTCGTTAATGAGCTTATGATTTATGAATATGATTTCAAATGAATTAGAATGAATTTGAAAATGATAAAATTCTTATTTTTAAAACGTATGTATGTTACAATCCAGAAGTCTAATGTATTCTCTTTATTTTTATTTTTAAATCACAAGTATACCCAAAATATTATAGTGATTTAGTATTTTCTTTATTTCTAATAAATGACATGTACCTAAGAAATGTTGTAGTGATTTAGTTTCTTTATGGGTAGTTGAAAAAAATAATTATCATTTTAGTGTCCTTTCATACCAAAATGATATTTTTCTCATTATATATATATATATATATATATATATATATATATATATATATATATATATATATATATATATATATATATATATCAACTATTATTTTAGTTTTTTTTTACCTTTTTTACAGCTTTTTAAATTGCATTTTTTTTCTGGTTTTTTTAATATCCATTTTTGTAATATTGTTTGTTGCAAAAAAAACACCATAAAATAAACTCCAACATTGTTTATTACAAAAAGAAAAAAAAACATCACAATTAGCTTGAACTTGAACCGGTAACAAATCCTTACATGTAAAAAAAATAAAAATAAAAAAATAAGAGGGAATAACCAGAACAAATACCATAAAAATATTTTTTTTCAACTACCTTGGCATAAACAGACATCGTTTTCAATTATGCCCCGGTTGCCTACAAATTCTACAAAGATTGACATTTCTTCCTTCTTTAATATCCATACCATTTTTTAGTCTTGTTGAACGAGAGAGACCTTGTTTTATTTCGTAATAGTTCTAAATTTGGAAGTAATTCGTTAAATGGTGATTGTGGCTAATGCGCTTCATGAGGAAGTCGGGAGAACTCAGATGCCCAAGTAGCACAATAAAATTCAATCGAATAACATTTATCAACATATTGCCAACCATTCAAAGAGAGTTTGACACATGCACTCAAGACATGAGAACAAGGATATTTAAATGTCTCCCATTTACCACATGTGCAAATTTTTTGTTCCAAATTAACTACTTGCACATTTCGACCTCTTTGAGTTATCAACTCAAATCTACATATTTCTCACTTAAAAGATCTTAAGGAATGTGCACTTGCTTTTGCCATCAATGCTACTTGTTTTACCACAACATGTGGAGTATGTGCATCTCCATGGGCTTGAGAAATAGATCCTAAAGGACGTCTAACCTCAAAATAATGCACCATTCTATAGAATGTAAGTTGCACACAAGGTGTGATTGGTAAAAAACGAGCACCTTTAAGTACACTGTTGAAAATCTCTGACAAATATGTTGTGAGCAATGCATACCTCCTTCCACCATCATGTACAAGTGTCCATCTATTAAGTGGATGACTCTCCAACCATTCTTGAGCACATGGATTTAACTTCCCGATTTCTTCCATGATGGAGTTGAATTTTCGAATTTGATTTTGACTCTCGGCACGATAGGCTAAAGCTTTCAATGCTAAATTACGAAACTTGTCATAAAAGTTGCTGACGAAATGTCATAAACAATACCTTTAAAATTAAATAATAATAATAATAATAATAATAATAATAATAATAATAATGTAAGTTAGGTGTTGTTTGACTTTCTGAAGCAAAAATTCATGAAGTCTGCGGACCACTTCTATAGTAGAAGAGGTGGACCAAACAGCTGCAGACTGTAATAAGAAACATGTTTGTTTTTTTAACATCTGCATACTGCTGCAAATATTAAAAAATTAAAATAAACTAATTTTATAAACTGAAAATAGCTTTTTAATACGTAAAATTTAATAATGTATAACATTTCGGTAAAAATTAATGATAATTCAGTAAAAAAAAATAATGATATTTCAACAAAAAAAATAAAGATATTTTAGTAAAAAATAATGATATTTCATCAAGAAATTATCATTATTGAATATAAAAAATAAAAAAAAAAACGAAAAATAATTCAACAAGAATAAACAAAAAAAATGAAAAAAAAATGTGAACTAAATTTTTAACAAAATATAATCAAAATTTCAGCAATAAAAAAAAAGAAAAAGAAGAGGTTGGAAGAGATAGTACAAGTGCTACGCCAAACAGAGCACGCGCAGAGGTTTTTGACTCAGAAGACTTCAAAAAAACAAACAATTGCGAGATGAAAAGTGTTGCGCGTGTGCCGCGCCGCGCAGCAATAAGAGGTTTGAAGATGTTTTTTTTTTTTTTCAAAAAACAAACAACACCTTAATGAAGCAAGTTATTGAAATGTCCTAAAAGAACACTTAAGAAATATAACAATACCTATGAAAACCACATGGCACTAACCATGGAGATCCATGCTCATTGACAGCCTTAAAAATTCCACCATGACGATCAGATATTAGACATATGCTTTCACGGTCTTTCACTACATGATTCTTGACATGAGAAAGGAACCAATCTCAACTATCATAAGATTTATTTTCTACAATAGAAAATGCAAGTGGAAAATTTTGATTATTACCATCACCTCCCATTGCAATTAGCATCTTACCCTTGTATTTACCATACAAGTGTGTGTCATCAATGCTAATCACCAGTCGACAATACTGAAACCCTTTGATAGAGGGAGCAAAAGCCCAAAAAACACGCCTAAATTCAACTTCATCATCGGTCGATCTTGAAACACACGATTCAACTCTAGTTCCTGGATTGAATTTTTGAAGTGCGCCTAGATATTTTGGTAAAGCAACATAAGACTCTTCCTAGTTTCCAAACACATGTTCAATTGCTTTTTGCTTTCCAAACCAAACCTTCTTATATGAAGGAGTATAGCCCAAATTTTCAACTATTTCAACTCTCAAAGTCGGAATACTGATAGAAGGTTGCTCTTTTATAAGGTATCTAGTTTCCATAGGAATCAAGCTTGCATCTAGGTTCGAATGGTCTAGAGAAAGCTTATAGTGTAAACAAGTGTGTGGACCGTTATACGATGTGATTTCAAAATAACCACTACATTTACATTTACTTGCATGAAGTTTCCATTTGCAACCAGATTGTAAGTACAACTTGCATCTTAGAGTCCAAATAGTTAGGCGTGACTTAATGACCTCAAATTGTCTATGTGTCCTAATGTTATGGATCTTGATTGCTATAACAAGTTCATCTTTATCCTTGAAAGAATCTTTTCCCAACTCTCGCGTAAAAATCATTCTTACTCGTTGATTGTGTCATAATCCAATGGTCATCAATAGTCAAATTTGTTCCTTCCATATTAGTAAAAGTCGAAGGTACTTCAACATTATTGTCAAAAGATGCTTCCTCATCATCTCCATCTCCAATTCCATCTTCCAATATTTCATTTAACTCAATTTTATTGACTATATTCATCACATTAGTCACATCAGCAGCTTGAGCGATTATAGAAAAATTCTCCCTGTCAATCATATATATAATAGAATTCATCTACAAAACAAACAAAAATAAACAAAAATTGATCAAAAAATGATCATGCGAATTTGTGATAGCAAGAAAAAAGAAACATAATGACATGTTTGCAATCAATTCCATCTACAAAAAAGATTAAAAAAAATAAAAAACAAGTTGTGATTTTCCATCTACAAAAGCAAATAAACAAAAGTAGAAATTGATCAACAATTCGTCCTAACTAGATACATACTGAACTTACATAATAACCTCTCAAAATCCTTCACTAATGAAATTCAACTATGTATTTTTTTAAAAGACGCAAAGAAGTCCACATATTTTCAAATGTGCAATAATTTTATGAATGATGTCTGGTTACTTATACAGATAGTGGCCTGCAAGCTTAAAACATTAGACCAAAAGAATTCAACACTTGCCCTTGTCCCACCAAAGGTACTATAGTGTATCAACATATAGTTGTTAGTGTCAAAGAGGGCAAGATAGTCTTTTCTTACAACATATGATGTCCAAATGCAGGATGTCAGTTTTTGTGCCAATCCTCAAGGAATAGCCCCAAAGAAGTATTTCTATCTCTAGTGTTGTGTATTAGTATTTAGCTTCCATTTGGCTTCTTAACTAGATACATAATCGAGAAAAACAGAATGCAGAAGCAAAAAGCAAACATAAAATTTAAGAACCGGAATCAAGAAAACGAGCAGGAATAATCAAAATTGATAACAACTTCACATACCTTGAATGGAGCGAAGGGTGGAGGAGTTGCAGGTCACCGGCGGCGGAGGAGGAGATGGCAGGCAACAGACGATGGTCGACGTGTGACGAGACGAACGAATCGCTGCTGGAGCCCTAGTTGCGTCGACAGATGATATGGTCGACGTTTTCGATTTTTTTTTCTTTTCTGTTCTCGTTCCAATCTTCTTGGGTAATCAAAAGACATGTTTTTGTTTTTTTAAAAACAATAATATTAGTTTTGAAATTAAAATAATACCCTTTTGGTAAATATTTTTGAAAAAAACCCTAAAATAATAAATAAATAAAAATCCATTAACTATATGGTTAAAAACTCTTAGTTTCACTAGCACGACTTTTCGTTGGAAGATAGTTGTGTAAAATAAGATCCTTTTCCAAGTATTGTAATTATCACCTCAAGTAGTAAATTGGTTTTCCGCATCCCCAAGTTATGGTTTTCCCCAATTCCCAGTCAATTTCCACATAAAATCTTGGTATCATCTTTTATTATTTTTGTTTCTATACAATTATTGATAAAAAACAATCAGTTTTTTGTTTAAATAATTATCGTACAACTTGTTTCAATGTGTGTTCCTGGTGGCATTTGTATTTCTTGTTGATTTGGTTTCTTAGTTATAAGATAACCAAATCATTGTGTTTATGTAGTCAACGGGGAGTACTAATGTCAATTAGGCTAGATATGAAATTTTCTTTGGGAGGAAAAATTACAACCCTCCATCTTTTTGTAGTCTTTGTACCACCACATATAAACTGTGCCACATAGAGTCCAAATTTTTTTTCATACGCCATTTTTCAGCTATATGAAAAAAATAAGCATTCGTTGTAGTTTTTTTCACATGCATTATGTCAATTGTCAAAGAAGTGAAAAGTGGAGTTTGGACGAGGGTTGTTGGCAATGAAAATAACGGACGGTTTCGTGTCAATGTAAGTATTTAATTTGGGTTTGATTCTACACTTAAGAAATTAAGCACATCATTATTTAATAACTATAACTTTTTCTTTATAAACAACATGTTATGATATAAACAACATCTATAATTATAACTAATTTTATGATAAATGTCTTAGAGAAGTCAATTACTGTCCAGATTAGCAACAAATATAAGTTTTTCCGCTACTTTAATTCCCTTTTTTACTTTTTTTAATCATTTTCTCTTCTTTTTCATTTCATTTGCAGTGTTGCTTGTGTGCAATAATGTCTTTCATCTTTCAATTCCCCGTTGATAGGCTGGTAGTTTTCTTAGGTTGGAAGATATCGAGTGAAAAAGGAGAGCGGGAGGGTTTCCCTTTCACCGGAACACCGCCCCCTTGCTGAGGGAAGCAACCCGCGGGAAAGAGTGTGGGGAGGGGGTGTCGCACTCTCTCTCCTCATTCTATTGAACAATTTTTTTTAATCATTTTTTATATTTATAAAATTATATACCTATTAAAAAATATATCAAAATTCATGGTTTTTAGTTCCTCACAAAATGAGTATAATATATGTATGAAATATATTTAAAAAAAATAGTGAGAGGAGCTTTTCATCCATTCCTTGAGTTTTAGGTGAGAGAAAAGAAAGTGGAAGAAATAATGGTGTGACCCACAAAAAGTGACCCGTCTCATACCCTCTAGTCTTATAATCTGGTACATATAGTGGAAATTCTCCATCATGATAAAATTGTAGGATTGATTAAAAAGACATCTTAGTTTACCATATAAACACCATAATTTAATTTTAAAATATTTTTATTGGTTAAAATTGCATTGTATTCCGAAAAAACTAATTATAAATAGTTAATTATAAGTTGATTTTTTTAAAAAGTTGTAAATGAAATATGCAAGGAATGTTTTAGTAACATGTCATGAGCTAAAACGGAGAAATGGGTTGTTAAGTAATAATTACAATCCCTTACAATCATTCTCTTCATGTCAATAATCACCATGGCCAGTAATGGAAGAGCTTGCAACTCTTTTATCTTTATTAACTTTCTTGGATTTCACTTGAAACACTCCACGAAAACCAAGTTATTTCACACCATTGTCGCTGCTTTACAACCTGCCTACGAAACTTCATTTTTTAGCACTCCTTTCACATTAAGTGTTTTCATCCCTCACATGATATTTCTTTTGAAACGTACAGGTTTTGTAGTTGTGTCTTCACACACACAAAAAAACGATTCTTTTAGTAAGAATTTAAAAATAAGATGATTTTGTTAAAACATACCCTCATTTTTTATATTTATAAAATAGCTAGCCTATGGTTTTTTATATTATCCTAACTAGTTGTGACATCTATTTATTATATGGGTTAATTTAAAAATAAATAAATATAAAGGTTAAAATATTTGAAAACTTTGAATTTATAGAAAAATAAAAAAATAATGAATTATTATAATAAAATATTTTTTATATTTTAAATTTAAATAAATAATTTAAATAAAGAAAAGAAACTAATGAACTTTAATTTTGGGAATTTTGAAATTAAAAAGTAAGTTTATTATTATTATTATTTTTTGAAACGTTAAATCTAACATACTCCTAAACTACACCTTAATTTCACCTATGCTCACCACGGGATTTGAACCCTCAACCTCAAGAAGGGAGGACAATACCGGATACCGCTGGGCTAAAAGCTCTTTGGTAAAAAGTAAGTTTATTGATGAAATTAATATTCATTTATTATTATATTTATTGATATCATATCAAAATACCTAGCCCTATGATTTTTTTTTTTATATTATCTTAATTAGCTATTGATCCTCGAAGGCATATTTAGGTTACACAGAAGGGAAAGTGACATTTTATGGTAATAAACTATAATCAATATAAAAATGTTTATGGAATAATGATATGCGGTTGGTACGTGAAGAACACGAATATGATCCATGCGAACTTTTTCCCGAACAAAATGAATGCCGATTTCAACGTGCTTAGTCCGTTGGTGTTGGATATGGTTTTCCTACAAATAAATAGTTGATATGTTATCACAATAGAGTAGAGTTGCTTTGGTTACTGGTACATATAGCTAGGGTTGTTAAATCGGGCAGTTGTGTCGTGTTTTTATCTGGAACGACAAGACACATAATGTTTTGTGTAACAAGAACACGACATGACACAGTATCGTGTTTTTTTTCACTAACACAAAAACGAACCAATTAAAACAAGATAACACAAAACGACACGACAGAGATAATATTACATAACTATTAGATTATTTAATTCATACTTAGTTATATATGACAAAAATGAGAAACATGAAAAGCATGACAAACACATGATCAATCGTCTCATATTCGTGTCGATTTGTGAAAACAAACACGAACATACATTACATCAGGTTTTTTAAACTTGACACGAACACAAATTTGAATTTTGATTTCATCCCGATTCCGTTTTGTTTTGTGTATTTTTGTCATGTCGTGTCATAAATTGACACCCATATATTGCTCAAGAAGAAAATTTTGTAACCAGCTAGTCTTGGCTATAACATTGACCACACCCTTATATTCGGTATCGGCGCTTGAGCGGGAAATGATATGTTTTCGTTTGGAACATGACACAAGATCACCGTCAAGATAGACGGGGTAAACAGAGGTGGATTGGTGTGAGCCAAGACACCCTCCCAATCAGCATTGGAATAAGCGGTGAGCCGATGACAGTTTGATGGTGAGATACGAAGGACGAATGTGTTTCATAAACTGGAAATGTAGTTCTAGAGGAACGTACATAAAAAAGTCAAACTTGTTGTGTAACATATGAGATTTCGGGCCGGGTAAAAGTTAGGTGTTGCAGTGCACTAAGGAGATGAAGAAAGAGAGCTCCATCAGAGAATAGGGGATCAACGATGGCATTGAGTTTGGATGAAGTATCGACGGGTGTGGAAATGGCATTACGGAACATCATGTTTGCGCATTGAAGAATGTCACATGCATATTGAGCCTATGAGACGAAGAGACCATTTTGTCACGAGTAACTGAGATGCCAAAAAATGATCTAGTGTACCAAAGTCGGTCAACGCAAATTCTTGTGAGAGTGTAGCGAAGATCTATTTAAGAAAAAAGGGGTTAGAAGCGGTTAGGACAATTTCATCGATAGAGGAGTAAATATGTCATGTGTTGTCCCTAACGAAAGAAAAAAAGTGATGTATAAAAATACTACTGTAGAATCCTTTCATGCTCCTATAAAACCTATGGTACCATGCCCTAGGGGATTGCTTGAGTCTATATAGGGACTTACGTAAACAACAAACATGATGAGAAGCATTGCAGTCAACAAACTCGGGGGGTTGGTGTATATATATAGTTTCGTGCAATTCGCCATGGAAGAATGCATTTTTAACATCATAGCAAGTAGCTAATTGAGTCCGATAACTCATAGGTGTAGTTTTTAGGTACGTGGGAAATGGTTGGAGTGGTTGAAGTATGCAAATTGAGTAATTGGAGGGCTTTGATTATGCTGAAGTAGGCATAGGTTATCATGTGATGACGAGGGGTGGGTGTAGGATAGTAATATGTGGCTTGGAAGGTGGTAGGTTAGTTTGAGTTTGGGTTGGTATGTTAGGTGGATATGTAGGTGGTGTAGATGTTGGTTTAGTGGAAGGGGTGAGTTGGTGTTTGATGTGTTTTTTATACTACTAGGTTTTTTATATATATATAAAGTCCTATTAAATCTCAACTAGACTTAAACACAAATAGACAGTATACCTAGTCGTGTAATAGAATAATAAAGTAGGGTGTTGAACTTAGAACGGAAATTTTAATATGAAAATACTATTACTAATTAAACTAAAAAAAAAGACAATAAATTAGGGTTTTTACTGATTTTGCAAGATCAGCAACTTGAATAAAGCAATTAGCAAATAAATAACTACAAATACTTTAAATTAAATCGGGAAAATAGAAACGATTTTAAAACCAAGATTAAAAAGCACTGTCATTTATTTTTAAATAACCTTACCGTATGACTGATTTCTAATACAATGGATTAATAATGTTGGTTACCAATTATTAATGTTACTAGTATTCTTGGTATGATTTCCTAGTATTTACCAATTTATGAACTATTATTACATTGATCATGCAACGAATGGACACAAAATTGATCTAAAGGTAAATTGGACTATGAATGATAAGATCTATTGATTACTTATCTATGATCAAGACAAGAAATTCAAGCACAAAATATGGATGGTTCATGCTCTCTAAAACAGGCGCAATTACTAACCGTTATCACCTAACCCTAGGATATTTTCTATCTCTAGATCTAGTAATTCATTGATCATAAACAACTAGATATCAAGTTCATGCAAGTATAATGATCATTTAACTACACAAAACCTGAATGAACTTTAACATGCTAGGATATTAATCTATCAAACACAAGTAAAAACCAACACAAATTAATCCATAGAAGTCAAAATGAACACATACTCTTAGGTTTCATATACACTAAATTAAAGTTAGGGTGAGTGTAGGTGTATGGATGTTAAGGAGTTTGGTAAGAAGGATGTTGTGTAGGTAGCAGGCGGTGTGAAGAGCCTTGACCCAGAAAGTGGTATGAAGATTCTCATGAGTGAGAAGAGCTCAAATGATGTCATTAAAACGACATATCATGCGTTCAGACTTACTGTTTTGAGGGGAAGTCTAAGGACACAAGAACCGAAATCTAAGGCTGTGAGTGGAGGCAAAAGTCTTGAAGTCGGTGTTGTCAATTTCTCCGCCCAAGTCACATTGGAATTAGGCTTTGATTTTGCGATTAAACTGGTTATTAATAAGTTGGTGAAATTTAGAGAAATTTGTGAATGTTTCAGATTTGAATTTGAGTGGGTAAACCCGAACGTATTGGGTGTAATTTTTGATAAGTACCCTATAGTACTTTTAACATGCTTTGCTTGAAATGGGAGATGTCCAAAAGTCACAATGAATGATGTCAAACAATGCAAACGTAAGAAAATTAGACTCATTAAACGGTAAATGTTTATTATTTTCAAGTTGACATGAATGAGAAATAGAAAATGTTTGTTTTTTATTACATGAAATGAAAAGACGACTACGTAAAAAAGTCTATGATTGATGAGTCGGCATGGTCAAGAAGGCTGTGCCACAGATCATAAGATGAGCTGACTAAATTTGCTGAAGGTTGAGAAGTAGGTGCAGTAAACAGATAAAGATCGCCCTCGCTATCATGGCGTGAAATAATCTTCCCAGTCGTGAGTTCCTTCACAGAAAATCCATATGTGTTAAAATCGAGAGAAAAATTGTTGTCTTTAGTGAAATTTGAAATAGATAAAAGATTTTTAACAACGTTTGGGCTATAAACAATGTTATTTATGGAGAAGGTTCTGGTAGGGGTTTTGTATAGTGCATTATCGTATCCTTTAACTGGTGTAGATTTTCCATTTCCAACAAAATAGATTGAATATTAGAAAAGGACAATGAAGTATGAACTTTATCAAAGACGGAGGCCAGTAGAGAGGATGCACCTGGGTCCATGTACCAATTTATATCATACTACTTGAGTTGCATATCCTGAAAAGCTTGGCCCAAGTCAGTAGGGTTGAGAGCATCATAGGTAGGATGGGCTGATTCATGTTGTTGGACCGTCACAGGAGTCAGATCTGCCGGTTGCTGTTGGATGAGATAGGATTCCGCCTGTTGGGTCACTGCTAGAGGACGCGACATGTTAATGCATGAGATGGAGTGGGCCATCCCAAGTTTTGAGAAGGATGTGGAGAGGGAGGAGCTGCCCACAAAGCCCATGGTAGATACACATATGACACATCCCCAACCTTGAGTGTTAGTCTGACCTCCTCAAGATGATCGACCCAGCTGAGAGTTTCATCCCCGACACGTCCGCGTTGTCCCTTATCACGATCTGTTTGAGGTTGGTCATTACAATAGGGAGGATAAGATTGATCGGTAGTGGTGGCAATGAGGGCCGAAAGACCGATTTGAGAATGAGGAACTTTTAGTTGATGTTGCTCAAGTTATAGCATGCTTCTTACATTGTCCCAATTTGGTGAGCTCTGGTTGATAAAAGAAGCGAAAATGACATATTCGGTAGGAAGTTCGTGTACCATCTGAAGAACAAGTTTGTTCACCGATTGGATTTTCGACATTTATGAGTTGATCATCGAGATCTTTAAGCTTTTGACAGTATTCATCTAGAGATGAACATAAATATAGAGTAAGGTTTGTGAACTCATGTTTGAGGGCGACGACAATATGTCGTAGATGCGTTTCCAGACTTCATAAGTAATGGCATCGGTGTCAAGGACACGAACGAAAAGGTGATACGACAATGTTTTGTAGATCCATTGAAGGACAGTAGCCAGTGGCGGAGATAGTAGGGGGCAGGCGGGTGCTCCCTTTATATAAAGGAGATACAATAGTCAAGATAATCTAAAACAATCATTATCTAAAATACATATTCAAATACATGGAAAGCATATATCTCGTCTAATATTATGTACATATTTAGTCAATTTTTTTTTTTTATAAAATCTTCTTCAACATTCAATCGATTCAAACTCACATAAAATCGGCTTCAACATGCAGCAAAATCGATTCTAACATTCGATCGGTTCAAACTCACATTCAAACCTAAAAATCGATTCAAATCTCCAATCAATTCAAACTTAGATGTCAACAATAAAAATGCATCTTTTAACAGACGTGATTGATGGTTCTATATGATTCAAGAAGAAACGAGTGAGAAAGGGATATTGGGGGTATGATGGTTTTTGTAAACTAACAGAAGAAGGATATGAAAATAGGAGAAGAGGGATATGAACATAGGAAGGTGTGAGTGACAATATAAGGGGTGGTTGGATGTAGTAAAGAGTAGGATATTTTCCCCGAGGAAAGAAATATTATGCATCGTATAATGTTTTTAAAAAATAAAACAAGAAAATGATGTCTTTTATAAATTGTGTTGATCGGAAAAGATGATGGACAAATTGATGATAACCGAAAAAGATTAAAGTGATTAAATATAAAATTAAAAAAAAAAAAAAAAAAAAAAAACTTAGTTTAACATAATTCAAAGGTAAATATATAAACTGACTGAATATATATTAAACAATAAATATAAATTTAATTATATTTTTTAAACATGTAGACCAGTTAGCCTACAACCAATAATCAAAATACTAAATGTTGAACAATAAATATAAATTTTACAGTAAATCTATAATAATAATAATAATAATAATAATAAAACTTGTTTCCGTACAAATGATTTACGAACACAATATAATCCCACTTATCAAAAGTCACACCAGTAACATTGGAGGTTTACGCATATCTGTGAAATAAGAAGGGGGTGTTGGACCGTTGGTAAATCAAAACCTCATCGATAACTTTTCTTCGAATTCAGAACGCACATCGATCAACGGGACATCTGGTTAGTAAAACCTTGCATTGATTGATTTGAAATCAAGACGATGAAGATAAATAAGGCCTGTGATCTCAGCTCAATTTCTGTTCTTCCTCCTCACTCAAGGTTCATTTCCGTATTTACAGCTGAAAATGCCCGTTATTCTGCATGCATCTTATCTAATTAGTGTGCGTATACTGTTCAGTGAGCTAATTTTGTGTGCGTTTTAGTTACGAACTGATAATCAAACGAATATTATGTTTTCGTCTATGTGTAGCATAATTGTGCGCTTTCTGCGATGAATTAAATTTGAAATGCATCATGCTTAATCTGTACCTTTTGCGAAGAATTGGAACTTATATTTATATATTTCATCTACGGAGTGTGTGCGAATGGAATAATACTGATTTTACGTGCTAAGTTGCATGTTTTGTAATGATCTGGATTCTGATACGTCTATCATTGTTCTGTGAGTAGACATTTGACTTCATATCTGTTCTTAAAGCCGATTTTGTGTTTTTGTCAAATAATGATTTTAGATGTACATAACTGATCTCCGCTGTATCTATGATTGAAACTAAACGATCCTGTGATGGAATTGTGCTTGTTTCATTGATCAACTGATTGTGTTCGCTTGTTAGGTTGAAATAGGTAGTATTTTTAGTTAAAATTTTCTGTGTCAATTGTGATAGATGGATATTGACTTTCAGAATGCTCAAATGCGTGTCTTAGTGAAGAACTGAACTTAAATGTAGTGTGAAATGTTGAAGATCTTTGTTCTAACTTCTGGTCATCCAACACACATTATCTTTGACTTGTATGTGATTGTTGCTGTTTATAAGTGAAATGCCTGTGTGTATCTTAGCTGCATCTGTTCATATCTCTTAAAAGAACTGATATTTAAGTGCATGCAATTGAGTATCCGTCTGTGACATTGAGAAGAATTTTCTTTTATGGCTGTGTGAGGTGTAAGAATTGAGAATTGGAATGTTCATGACTTTTTTCTTGTCTGCTTAATTTTTTGTGTTTAATTTGGTGTTGTTATGAAATTTAGAAGGCGATCAAGTGTATCATGTAGCCAGCCAGAGATGTCCACAACTTTTAGGCAAAGCCAAGCATCATCATCACAAAAGCAGCGGTCACAGCAATCGTTTTCTCAGGGAATTTCATCTCAACCAAATGCCATTTTCTCTCAATTCTCACAGAATTCTCAAGATGAGACATTAACAAATGACCAGGTTTAACCAAAAGCTTTTGTGGATCATATATTCATGTTCTTAAAGTATCCCCTAACATACTTTCACACGTTTTGTTTTATGAATGTTTCCTTATTTCGCTTTGTAGTTGGTTTTTTCTCAAGAAAGAGAGACTTCTGTGAAAAGATTTTCATGCCTACCCCCAGTCAACCACTCACGAGAAGAAAGTCAAATGCCATTATCAAGATCCTCCACAGGTCTAATCCGCAAATGGGGTTCTATTTCAGAGCAAAGAGGTAAGTTTTCTTGAAGTGTACACTTTGCTTTGAGCTTTATGGTTTTCTTGATGTTTTGAAATGAATGAACAGGTCAGATGAGTGATGAACTTGAACACCGGATAGGAACAATAGAAAGTTCACTAAACAGGTTTGGGTTGATGCTGGAATCTCTTCAGACAGATGTAATGCATGTCAATAAAGGATCAAAAGAATTAACCATGGATAGTAAGTAGATCTATCTCATAAAAAGAAAATATATTCAAAATTCTTGTACTATGATCATAACTGATATTTTCACATTTATCTCCTTATTTTTGTCTACATTCAGTGGATAGCATACGCCAGAAATTGATTGCACATGACAACTCCTTGCAGACAATTGACAACTCTCTACAGATGATTGTCAACTCCCTGCAGATAATTGTGAGAATACCTTATATTCTCCCATAATTTTGTTAACATCTATATTTAGTAATATTTTCTAACTCAATTGAATTACCATGACCAGAGCAAAGGGCAAGAAGATGTAAAATCTAGCCTTCATGGAGAACTGAAGTCACTTTCTGTTAAGCTCAATCAAGATAAATGTCACCAGAACTCACAAGAGATTTCAGTCTTGCTCTCTGGTTTAGAAGAAAAGATTGGAGTGTTCATACTGAACTTACATAATAACCTCTCAAAATCCCTCACTAATGAAATTCAGGTATGCATTTTTTATTAAGAGGCAAAGAAGTCCACATATTTTCAGATGTGCAATACTTTTATGAATGATGTATGTTTACTTATACAGGCAGTGGCATACAAGCTTAAAGCACTAGACCAAAAGAATCCAACACCTGCCCTTCTCCCACCAAAGGTACTATACTACTATAGTGTATCAACATGTAGCTGTTAGTGTTATAGAGGGCAATATAGTCTTTTTTTTTTTTTTATATAACATTTGATGTCCAAATGCAGGCTGTCAGTTTTTGTGCCAATCCTCAAGGAATAGCCCCAAAGAAGTATGTCTATTTCTAGTGTATCAATATTCTTGCTTATCTTAGTAATACTGAAAATTTTATATAACCATGGAATGAAGTAGCAATTTTTTTTTTTACTTTTTTACAGTTCAGCAGTGCCTTTAAAAGTCCAAATGGGAACTCGGATTCCCAAGGTAGAAATGGGCACCTGGAACTCTGTAAAACGTGAAAAGGCTACTCTCACAGATAGAGATTACAGCAAGGGGCATAAACACAGCAGAGTATCTCAGACTCAACTGGTATTTTCTGTTTCTTTTTGCATTTAGGCTACATATGTTAATTAGGAAGAGGAGGAGGGCATTCACGTCTTTTTCCCAAACAAAAAATTGCAATGGTTGTCCCATTAACATCAGTCTAAGTCCCAATTCACTGATTAGGACAAATGATGCTAAAATATTAAATTTACATGATAATTTTTTTTTTTTCTCTTTCTTTCAAAATGTTTTGTTTTATGGAAACTTTCTTGAGCTTGAAATTCCACCATTGATTAACAATGGTTTGTTTAATAATATTGATGTAGGAAAGAGAATGGAGTGTTGTGATTGAATCTGATGAAGATAGCGATGGAGGTTTCACATTCTTGTCCAAGGAAAAGGAAACAACAGGTCTTAATTAATCTGGCTCATTGTTTTTGATTAATTAATTAAATATTTACAATCATGAGTCATGAGTTTAATATGTATTTTGTAGGAAGCTATTTGATGAAGAAAGCAAAGGAAGAAACTGAACGTATTCTAAGGAAAGCAAGGAGAAGAAAGAGAAAACAATGCAATGCAATTATCATTAACTGAACATGAACAATAATAACATGGTCAGTTTTACCTTGAAGCATGCTTTAATTAATTAATCAAGTCATAATCATATAATATAAGTTGCCTGTTTTTTTATAAGAAGTGATGGTTTTATTTGTTGCAGGTATAAATAAATGGGATTGATATTAATAATAAGTATAGTTATAGTATACAGTTTACATCATGCAAGTTTTGTTTATGTTAAAACTTAAAATTGTTTTTGTAAGTAAAGTTTTGTAATAAGCAAATTGTGTAACTTCCAGTTCCGGTATATAAATATAAATAGTGTGATTTTATTCCCTTAAGAGGCCAGATTGGGTACACCAACCCTAAGGCCTACAATCTACATCATGTACATCTGTTGGTGTTGGGTATGAATATGATTGGGGCTTTTAACGTGATGTCTCTTCGGGTCTCTATTATGAGGTGTCCCACCCCACTTGAGCGTCTTGTTCCCGAATTATGGTCCATAGGCTATTGGATATTTAGTTTGATTGTCAATTAATGTCATATGAATAGTATCGGTCCCTTCTGCCTCAACCTTTTGTAATTGGTAATCATCATTCATGAGCCATCACATACAAGAAGACAAATTGTCGTACGTCCCGTGAATGTGGTTCTTACGAAGTTGTCATATATAGTATATATTGGAAGTTAAATTTAAGAATTTACGTTATATAATTATACTAGGTGTGATATTCATGTATTACATGGGTTTATTTAAAAAAATTAAATTTAAAATTTTAACAATTTGAAAATTTTGAATTTATAAGAAAAATAAGAAATTTTTTGAATTATTAAAATTAATGAGGTTTTAATACATTACATATATAAACCTTTTCTAATAAAAACCTTACATATATAGTACCTTATATATTAAATGTGGAACTTTAATATAATAAAATGAAAACTACAATAAAATAACAAGTGGAAAATAGAAAATTTAAAAATTCTAGAAAATGCCATGAGTTTAAATGAATGAGAAGAGGATATGTGGCAAAAAACCTTCATTTATTGATTCAACATTGGACCAATCTTTACACTTTAGTATAGTATCCTTAACAATTAATATGCAATTGGAGAATCTTTACTATATATGGTGCTTATCTGTTAGTTTCGCAGATTGTTAACAAGGTTATGTAATCTTATGCAATAATGTAACGAGTGACAAACAAAGTTACTTTTTAGAATTTTGAGCAGGGTAAGGAGAGAGAAAACTATAACTGTGTTCTCGAGTTATATCTTTCAAGAAAAACCAAAAAAAATGTGTTCACAATTTGTTTTTCCAGGAATCAGAATATAAGTTTTGGATAAGGTTCTTTTTAAAGTTTTCCTTCCAAATGCGGGAATATTTGGAGAAAAAGTGAAGTAAAGGTCTCCTAACTTTTTTTTATTTAATCGCCAAAAAAAAAAAAAAAAATACTCGATTTAATCTTGACATGTTTTACACAAGATATGGTATATTTGTAAACTCGTGTTTTTTCACCACCATGGAAAACAAAACGTATGTTTGTTTTTTCTCTAACTTAAAAACATATAAAGAAATTATTACCCTTCTTTTTCTATCATTTTCTGTCACTTTATTTCTTTCCAGACTCGATTGTGACAACTCTAATCTTTGTGCCATCGTCAACCTTCTTATATATATGACGATAAATGAATGGGACAAAACTGAAAAAGACTATATCAAGATGGTTAATCCGTTAAAATCTACACAATAAAAATGTCATAATAAAAGAAAAAGATGTTTTTACTACACATTTAATTTACGAAGATTGATCACATGGTTTATATCATCTACATTAAACTTTATTTAAATTAACCAAAAGTATGAAACCAATTCTAGGAGGGAATGCAGTTTTGAATTAAGATGGTTGACTTATTGGATCTTCATCATGACCTAAAATCATTATTCTATTGTTTCAAATTAGTTAACTTTTCTCCAAATAGTTCACATCATTATGTATGCACTTAATTATTAAATAAATATATTAGTTAGATCTTCTTGTATTTTTAAGAGCTGGAGCTTTGCACAAACATTTAATGCATGTAACATGAAAAAACACGTTTATCTTGAATAATGAACCAATATGGCACAAAATGGGTGAGAAGGCCGCGTTAAAAGTTGGTCAAAACGGGTATCCAATTTTTTTTAGTATGGACCAAACATGTCAAAGTAGGGTTGGGTTGGATTCGTTAACATTTTTTTTTTTTTTTTGTACAATTTGAATTTTATATATTAGATATTATTATTTGTAAAAGTTATAATAAAAATAACGGTTTAAAGGCAAGTTAATGAATAAAAATAATTTAAAAGAATATAATAAAATATAAAATTTTCATCTTGAACAACATTAATTGAAATGCCTCACATAATTTTCAACCATCAATAACCTATCATTAAAAAAGTTGTAATTAAATACAAATAACTTAATTGTATATATAAAATTTCTTTTAGTCAAACAAATAAATTTAACGTATATAAATTTTAATTACTTGGGTAGCCTGATTTTAATATATATATATATATATATATATATATATATATATATATATATATATATATATATATATATATATATATATATATATATATATATATATATATCGCCTTTTTTTGTACAAATAAATATATTTGAAATTAAATTAAAATAGCTTAATAGCATATAAACACAAAGTGTATTTGTTAGTACAAAAATAAAATATTACCACGATGATAATAACTTTTTTAAACTCATAATTTTATAACTAAATATATTTAACAATAAAAGAATTGTAATTTTAATACATTTTAAATGTTAAAACATTTATAAAGGTTTTGTATTTACATTTTTATAGAACCAAAAATGTCTACATTTTATAAGTTTTTGAATCATTCATACATCTAATTATATTATATCAAAAAAATATATATATTTGTAATTAATAAACTAAATGATAGGATGTTAAAAACACTCATGAAAATACTAAAATTTATTTCATGTAATTTTATAAACAAAAAGAAAAATGTATGTGCAATTTACCACAAGCTAAAAGATTTATAATGTTATAATCTTTTATCTGAAAAAAAGAACTATTTTAACTTTGTATAATTTTGTCAAGAAATTTGAATACTGGAAACTCAATTTACAAAACTATAAAACCTAATAAATAACTTATTAACTTGATATTAACAATTTCAAGGTACATTTAAAAACTAAAATAAAATATAAAATGTGAAATGGTACTCTATAATAATATATTTGATAGTAAAAGTTTCAAAATACATTTAATAAATAAAATAAAATAAGAATCTAAAATCCTATTCTATAAGAATGTGTCATAGTACATATATAATAGAGTTGGTTAAACAAATAAACACCGATTTCAATTACTGGAAAAAATATTATTGGTTTAACAAAACCATATTATACTATAAAATAATTAAAAATGATTATGTGTGAAGTGATACATTTTTAAAGTATAAATGTATCTTGTCATTCGTTCTAATGATGTCATATGACATTATTAAAATTAATTCCCACTATCCTTTGGTATTCTTCCATGTGGGCATATTTTCTTTATTAGAATTGCTCTCAATACAACTATTGCGGGGTTGCACAATAGACATGGGGTCTTATGGGCTTTCGCCTACCCTATAATATAAATTGAGTGGCTTCGCCCTAGAAGCTACTGCTTCCTTCCGCTTCTCTAGGCTTCACTATCACTCATGATTGGTATATGAATCCCTCTATGTAGTGGTCGGCCTTCTAAAAGCTTCTTCGGAAGCAACTAATCGCTTCCCGAATGCCCATTTCCTTCATGCCTATTGAAATGGATGTGAATGATCATGATAGTTCTGAAAACCATATTCAGTCTGATTAAATATGTCGCTAAAAGAAAGTGATTATGTTCCCTCTTTTAAATAGAATATAAATACCTTTTCCATTTGAACCTTAAAACTAATTAAATCAACAAAATAATAAATTATTTCAGTAATTAACATATGACATATGTATCCCATTAAATCAGCAAACAAAATTTTCCAATATCCCATTAAATCAGCAAACAACATTTTCCATTTAGGAAATGATTCATAAACAATAGTTTTTTGTCATACGTAGCAATTTATGCATTATAGAGTTGTACAATATAACAATTTAAAACGCCAATTGTTGTGTATGAAAAAAAAATTGTTATGTACAAATCATCCTCCTCTCTATTTGAATTGTAAAACTGGGATATTTGGTTCATTATCTATAATTTATAGAATATTACTCCTTTATTTATAGCTTAACTTTAATCGAAACATTTTTTATACCTTTTTTTTAAGTAGTCAATATATATATATATATATATATATATATATATATATATATATATATATATATATATATATATATATATATATATAGGGTAAAGTGAGTATACCTAACAATCTTATATAATCTTAGGTACCTAACCTCATCAAACTAGATCATTTTGCATTAAATTTTCATTGCAATCATGCAAGGTTCTTAAACTTTATCCATAAACTTGATTTACTTCAAAAAAAATTTGGAAATTCATCATTATATTTCTCCTACATCATTTCATTTATAGCGGTAGGATATGAAGCCTATCAGGCGGTATTCAATACAAATACCTGATGTAAAAGAAAGATATTGGTGAAAGTTCAAAGATTTTGGAAGTAATAAAGTTATGGGGTTGAAGTTTAAGAACCTTAGGCAATTACAATGTAAATATGATACAAACTGATGTAGTATTATGGAGTTAGGTACCTAAGTTTATATAAGGTTGTTAGGTATATTCACTTTTTCCATATATATATATATATATATATATATATATATATATATATATATATATATATATATATATATATATATATATATATAAATTAAAAAGTATCATAGTGAACAATATTCTATTATGATTTGTTCTTTCTTCTTTTAGTTTCTTTCATAATCATTTCCCAATATCTAATTTATCCATGTTCTTGGTTCGAGAGAGTGCTTTCCACGTGATGTAATCAGTAGAACTATCGTCTGTCACACCCTCGAATCAGACCGCGGAAAAGTCTAGAGGCTTGGGTGACTTTATCCTTGTAGTATCATCACAGAGTATATAATTGAAACTTAACATCATCATCATCACACATGGAATATTACAACTATTATTTGTTTACATCGAGTATTGTATTACAATATTGCATGCCAAAATAACCAGAATATGATGAAAACAAAACATAACAAAATGTCAAAGTATTCTTGTTAACCGACCTGATCAATGATTTCTTGAGAATACAAGT